CGAGGCCTCGGCCATGCAGAGCCTCATCAAGTACAGCGGCAGCTTCGCGCGCGAGGCGGGCACCGTGCGCCCCGGCGCCTGCGGCAAGAAGAGCCCCTTTGGAGGCCTGGGCACCATGAAGCCCGAGCCTGCCCTCACCGGCACCACCGCCTCCACCGCCACCACCACCACCACGGGTGCCCCACGTGCCCAGGCTCGCCTCCCTCACCCTGGGGGCCCTGCCCCGGCTGGGGGCCGGCAGCTGAAGCGGGATCCGGAGAGGCCCGAGAGCGCCAAGGCCTTTGGCCGTGAGGGCTCCGGTGCCCAGGGCGAGGTCGAGGTGCGACACCCGCCTGTGGGCATCGCGGTGGCTGTGGCCCGGCAGAAGGACAGTGGCGGCGGCGGCCGGCTGGGGACTGGCCTGGCGGACCAGGAGCGCTCCCTGTCCCTGAGCAACGTCAAAGGTGGGTCCTTGCCTCCCCCAGCCTGTACCTCTCCCACCTTCCTTTCCCCAGCCTCCTTGCACCCCCTACTCTCCCCGCCTCCCTCCTACTATTTACCCTTTATCAAAGCCCTTGGGGCTGCAGCTGCTATTTAAAGTTTATTGCTTTTTCCATGGTGCACATAGAAAAATGTGTGAAACGCAGACGGAGGAAGAAGAAAAAGGACCATTATATCTTCCAAAACCCTGAACACTTTAGGTGTTTCCCCGGGTTCATTTTCCCGTGTGACGCGCATCTTCCTGCAGCGGCCCCAGCGCGTGCAGGATCTTGGGCCCCTGCGTTTCTCACCTGTTACGGGTGTGGGTTGACCCCTCGCCGTACAACCTCGTATTTATAAGGTCCACTTCTTTACTGGCCTTTACTGCTCCATGGGGCACCCACCGCAGTTCAGCTAGCCCACGCCCCTGGTAGGCATTGCAGTTTTCCCTCCGACCTTGTCTGTGTTTAGAACGTTGTATTGAATATTGTGCTCGGCGTCTTCCCGACGTCTCCGGTCATCTTCTGAGACAGCGGTGGGGAACGTTTTTTTCTGCCGAGGGCCATTTGGCTATTTATAACATCATGCGCAGGCCATACAGAATTATCAACTTAAAAATTAGCTGTGAAAAAAAAGCTGCTAGATTTATTGAATCTCGAGTCCCGCCTGTGGTTGCCTTGGCGGGGGCCAGACCCAATGATTTCTCGGGCTGGAGTTCCCCGCCCCTGTTCTAAGAATAGGTGCCTAGGAATAGACTCGCTTTAAAGTCTTCCTTTCGAAGTCCTTGAGGGAGGTAACCGTGCCTTCGCTAGTTCAGTGTCCCCAGTACCAAGCATGGGGCCTGGCGCGTAGTAGGTGTTTGATGAGTGAATGGGTGACTGAGTGTGACAGGTGGAAACTAGTTAGGGCCCCGGCGTCCTGGTGGGTCTTGGATGCAGTACCTTAGTGACTTCTTAGGTAGGTAGTTACATGCCTGTTAGCAGTGTGTGTCCGTTTCATTTCAGGCTTCTCAAAATTGTGTTTTAATGTTACTAGAAAACTGTTGCTAAGTTAGGTTGAGATGAATGGTGCATTTTTTTTTTTTTTAAGTCCTTACCTTAGGAATGAGAATATTTTTTCCATTGATTTTTTTTTTTTTTTTTTTTTTTTGAGAGAGAGA